AAATATAAAGAATTAAATAAGAATCAGCAAGAATCCACTGCTCAGAGGTCACCATTGTTAACATTTTGGCATATTTCTTTCTATTGCTTATTGTTTATGTGTGAGCATGTGCACACATACATTGTTGTGTATAGAAATGGCATTATGCTGTAGAGATTTGTACCCCGCTTTTCTGATTTAACATTATAATGTGATCATTGTCTTTTATTGTTAATTATTCTCTGAAAGCGTGGTTTTGGATGGCCATGTAGCATTTCTTCATGGAGCCATGTTATACTTTGTTTAACTATTTCTTGTTGGATAGTGAACTTGTTGAAAGATTTTTCCTGTTATAAATAATATTGCAAAGAAAATTTTTTTGCCACGAGCCTCCTTCAGGATATCTGGTTATTGCCTTAGCTGAGACACCCTTCGATATGGTAATAGGAGAAGAGGAGCATTTTAAAGCTCTGAGTATGTGTTGCCAAAGTGGCGCACAGTGTTTTTGTGATTTAAGGGGACCCAAACAGAGAACCCACCTAGACATTTGAAAAAAGTGGCCTTGGGCTTTGGTTGTCACAGGCCAGTGGAAACACATAAACCAAAACACTGAGGAGGGGCTGACATTCGGTCCCAACTGTTTGGTCAAGCAGAGCTTTTTCTGCCCTCCTACTTATTATCATGATAAGAAATACATTTTAATCCAAAATGGTAGGGATGTGATTTCAGACTAAAGGACAGTTTTTTTAATCTTCACCCGAGGACATTTTTTTTTTTTTTTTTTTTGCATTTATCTTCCAATAGAGCAGGAGGGAGAGAGGGGGGAAGAGAGAGAGAGAAACATTGACGTGAGAGAGACACATGGGCTGGTTGCCCCCCACATGACCCCAACTGGGGCCCGGGGACTAACTGCAACCAAGGTATGTGCCCTTAGCGGGAACCGAGCCCATCTCTCTCTGGTCCTCGGGCCGACGCTCTGACCGCTGAGCCAAACCGGCCAGGGCTAAAGGACAGTTTTTTAAATTGAATAAACTTCATTTTTGAAAACTTCACTCTCTTCCTTTCTCTCACTCTAAAATTAATAAAAACATATCCTCAGGTGAGGATTAAAAAAAAAAGAAGGCACATCCGTGCTGGAAGGTTGATTCTGGCTGTAGGAGGGAGGCCGCAGTCCCTCGCCCCATAGACCTCTCCATGGGCTACTGGATGTCCTCACTGCACGTGGCCGGCTTTGCCCAAAACAGATGGTCCATGGCGGGGAGCAGTAAGGAAGCCTGAGTGTCTCACGGCCTGGTCTTGGAAGTCACACACGCTTACTTTTGTTACATTCTGTTCTTGCATGGTGGTTTTATTTATTTATTTATTTTTAATTTTTTTTATCTTCACCCTTGGACATTTCTCCGTTTTTTGTTCAGATAGAGTGGAAGGAGAGAGAGGAAGAGAGAGAGAGAAACATCGATGTGAAAGGGACACGTTGAGTGGCTGCCTCCCGCAACCGAGGTGCGTGCCCTTGGCCGGAATCGAACTCACGACTCATTGGTCTTCCGGCTGCCGCTCTAACCGCTGAGCCAAACCGGCCAGGGCTTCCATGGTGGTTTTAAAATATATTCACAAATTCACCCTGGCTGGTTTGGCTCAGCGGTTAGAGCGTCGGCCCACGGACCAATGAGTCGTGGGTTCGATTCTGGCCAAGGGCATGTACCTCAGTTGCAGTTTGTCCCTGGCCCAGGTCGGGGTCATGTGGGAGGCAGCCACTCTATGTGTCCCTTTCACATTGATGTTTCTCTCTCTCTCTCTCTCCCTCCCACTCTACCTGAAGATAAATAGAAAAATATCCTCAGGTGAGGATTAAAATGAATATATATATATATATATATATATATATATATATATTTTCACAAATTCTTTGATATTCTTCCCTTCAAAAGACAAAGCCTAATTCTCTCCTTGTATGTGGGCTGGGCACCCCTCTTTGGAGCTCAGTGCTAAGTCACTAATTCTGTGAATTGAAGCCCATGATGTCCAAGGATTCAGGTCCTGCAAGGCCTGGTGGGGATACCCTGTGGCTACAGGACATCAGAACTGTCATGTTTCTAGCCTCGGCTGACTTCCTTAAGTACCCGTAGGTGGGCCTCCAGATGTAGCATGCATGAGAATGTCAAGGTGGCTAAGAAGAGCATCCCCTATCAGAGACTCTCAGATAAGCCTGTTCCTGTGAAAAAGCCACCCTGGTGACAGTAGAGCCTGGGCTGCTGCTGAAGCTGTCTTGGCATTTACGAAGAGGGACCTGGAGCTCCCTGGAAGACCCTGAGAGAGAGGAGAGGAGAAATTGCCTGTGTAGGATAGGAGGGAAGGCTGGGTGGACAGATGTTATTATAGGGATATTTATTTCGATTCTGACGGCCCACCTGAGCCTCCTGGATGGTAGAAGGAGGAAGATGACAAGACCTATGACAAGAGCCCTAACACAAGGATCTCAGCCAAGTACACACTCACAGGCACCCTGTGGACTGCTCAAGTTACTCCACCTCTCTGAACCTTGTCTTTAAAATGGGAACAATAAATGCTAACATAGAAGTGGTTGTGAGAGTTAAATAAAGTACTCCATTTCATTGACTTTTTTTATATTTAAACATTTCTGAAATTAGGATGTGTATTAAAATCAACGTATCCTACAGTGACTTGTCTGTCTTAGTAGTTCAGTAAAGAATGTTATATCTTCCAATCATTGTTTTTTTTTAATTATTATTATTTTTTTATCCTCACTTGAGGACATTTTTCCATTTTTTGTTCAGATAGAATGGGAAGGAGAGAGAGGGAGGGAGGGGGGGGGGAGAGAGAGAGAGAGAGAGAGAGAGAGAGAGAGAGAGAGAGAGAGAGAGAGAAACATTGCCGTGAAAGGGACATATTGAGTGGCTGCCTCCTGCACGACCCAACCAGGGCCGGGGACAAACCACAACCGAGGTATATGTCCTTAGCGGGTACTGAACCTGGGTCTCTCTGGACTGCAGGCCGACACTAACCACTGAGCAAATCGGCCAGGGCTTTTAAAAAAAATTATTAATGAATTTATTTTTGTTACAGATGTTTCTCCTTTGCCCCCTATTGACACCCTCCTCCCGTTCCCGCCAATCATTGGTTTCTTATCTCTGATGAAAAATTGTAGACCAGAGATAGGATAGCACTAAGGAATTTCTAATTTTTAAGGTGTTACAATGATATTGTATTTATTATAAAAAAGAATCCTTATCTCTTAGAGATATGTATTGAAATATTTATGGACCTCATAATGTCCCGAATATTGCTTAAAAATAATCTAGGTTGAGGGGAGTGAGTGAAGCCATAGATAAATCAGTATTGATCAGGCCAGGTGAAAGGTGCACAGGAGTTTCTTAAATTGTTCTCTCTACTTTTTATATGTTTGAAAATTTTTATAATAAGATAAAAGAAAAAAAAGCAACAAAGAAATAAGTTGCATAGACAAAGGGCGCTTCCTGGGCGTTTTGTGGTACTGGGTCCCTCACTATTCTGATCCCAAGCATCACTTCCTCTCAGAGGCCCCCCTTGATTACCTGTCTGTGGTTGCTCCCCCTTTCCCTTCTACTCCCCGCTGTAGTTGCTCTGTTTTCATCGCCCTTTTTTTGTCCACAGTATGATCACTCTCTGAAATTACTGATACATTTGCTTACTTGTTTACTGTTCCCCTGAATGTAAACTTCATTGGAGCAGGGGCTCTGCCTCTCTGGCACGGAGTAGACCACCGGGAGGTATGTGAAGACGGACTGATGGAGGCCCACTGGCACGGCCGAGCCTGTGGCAGAGGAAGCCGATGTTCATTTCACCCCCTCATCCTGCTTGGTTCTCCGGCTCTGATCTGCCACTCGGCTTGTTGGCGAGCCGTCCCTTTCTGCCCGTCGCCTGGCTGGGCTTCGGCATGTATCCCCTTCTAGAATCTCCAGCCCAGCAGCCAGTCCAGCATTCGAACCTGGGGCCTTCTGGTGTTCCTCTTGGTTTCTGCCCCTCTCCTATCTTGCTGTCTGTCAGCCATGTCCTGCTGATGATTTCCAGGCACTGCCCAGTCCCTGCGGTGACACAGAGTTTGTCATTGGTCACTCTGAGGAGAGAATTTTGCGTCAACCAGAACCTTTCCTGCAAAATAATGGCAAACCCTACTAAATGAAGAGGGAGCCTTTGGTTCCTGTCATTGTCAGTCAAGGACCATCCCCAGAGAGGGTGGGCTCAGCCCCACCACGCCCACCACCATGAAGCTGCCACAGAATGGAGTAGGCGTAGCATGGGTCTTGGGGGGTGGTCACTGTCCTCTGTAGAGCCCTTCCTGGAGCGTGCATAGGTCCTGGCCCTGGTTCTAGTCTATGCAATCAGCACACCACCTGTTAAGTATAGACACTGCTGGAGGAAGTGTAGGGAAGAAGCTGAGAGAGGGTAGAGGGAGACTCAAGTAGGGTGTCAGTGACCAGAGTGAAACAGAGGTGCAGGTGTAGACAAAGTGCTGGGGGACAATCAAGGAGGGAGGCACTGCACCAGGCGGGGTCCCAGGGCCTTCCCAGAGGAGAACAGGGTTCAGGTGTTCCTGAAAGAAGACAGGATTTTCCAAGTGGAGAAGGGAGGGCAGGGCGTTCCAGGCAGAAGGAGTCTGCACAGAGGCGGTGGAATTGGAAAGGAGTGGGAGATGGGAGAGCTGTTGGGCAGGGGGAAGTGACAGCCTCCTTCCCTTCTGAATCTGCTTAGTTTATGTGTTGCTCAAATCTGAAAATTGCTTTAAAGCTTAAAACCAGTATCCCACAGTTCAAGCTTGTTGGGTGTCATTTTAGGCCTTTCTTAGAACATGCTGGAGCTTCTAGTGGAATATGGGGGGCTCTGGAAGATCCCAGAAGATTATTTTCCATTTCCCAAGGGAGGCCTTGAGACCAGGACCTATGTCCCCTTCATCGCTCCATCCCTAGCACCAACACACAGTCAACAGTAGGTTCTCGATTCCTGAAGTTGTATTGTATTTGCAGGTGCAGAGAAAAGAAATACAATTATGATCAGTTGCCCACGACATCTGTTGTCATAGCATTTTATAATGAAGCCTGGTCAACACTCCTTCGGACAGTTTACAGTGTCCTAGAGACGTCCCCAGACATCCTGCTAGAAGAAGTTATCCTCGTAGATGACTACAGTGATAGAGGTAAGCCCCTGGCATGGGCTCTGGGAGGAGCCTGGCTTTCCAGGGCAGTGTCTGGGAGGTGCGAATGGGACATGGCACTTGTGGAATAGGCCTGGGAAGGACAGGCTTCCTGCATCCCCTGTGCCTGGCTCCTGCCCTAGGGGAGGGAGCTCAGATCATGGTGGAGGGACACTGGTGCAGTGACAGAGGGCTCTACCGCGTGCTGCTGCAGGAAACAGGAGAGGGACTCACTCTGCCAGGTGCTCAGGGTGGGGTGGTTGACCTTGGTCTTGAAGGTCAGTTTATGGGCAGCAAAGGAGGAGAGGGGGCGTTTCAGGTGGAGGGCACAGATGTGGAAAGGCTTGGAGGGGCAGTGCACACAGACTGTGTAGGATCTGCCAGCAGTTCAGGAAGGATGGAGGGCCAGCTGCTTTGGGGAGTAGTAGGGAGAGGACGGGAAGGAGAGGTGGAAAAGGGTGCAGGCATTTTATAATGTATTTATATAATTATCATGACTGAAATGAAATAGTAATCGTTCCTAGTAGGATTGTTGTGAGGATTAAAGCAAGGTCAGTGATTGGCTAATTGTTAGCACTTGTTAAACGATAACATATTTTTATGAAATATTAAAACTGTACAGTGCCGGAAATATGTCAGCGATGTCTTCATTCAGAAGCAAAAAGCAGATTTAAAATTTTATCTTTAGGACATTAAACAGGATTTATGGGATTCTGTGGCAGGCTGGACCTATAAACCTCTTCCAACATAGCTCAGTTCCCTCATAAATGTGCTGTGGGCCACGGCTCCCCCACCCCGTCGTGGTAACCTGTAAAGCAGGTGAGGTGCCCGCTCCACCTGTGATGGAGGTGAGCATTCCGCCGGCCTTCTCTCGCCCTTTCTGGTGTCAGTGTGAGCTCCAGGAAGGGGTGTCAGCCCCTTGAAGGTGTGGGGAGACCATTCAGGCAGAGAGAAGGTTAATGCTGACCGAACCCATAACGAGAGCAGGGCGGCCGCAGGTGTATGTTGCGGGCATTCACTGGGCACCACAGCAGGTTACCTTTGTGGGAAGTCATCTGCCTTACTCCTGCCATCAGTATATTTGCAGTTATATTTAGGATTGAAAAAACAACAACTGATGAATGTTTTCTTTTTTGCGTGGCAAAATATTTAGGGAAACATTTTCACAAAATATGAAGCAACCTGGATCATTTTGTAAAAATGCCCTCTTCCCTGATGATTGAAGACTTTAAGACAAAGCCATGTTGATGTGGGGAAATTCTCTCATTTTTGTTTTGCCCGAGGGGTGCCCACCAGTCTCCCCTGACCCACTGAGGGGTGTGAGTGGGGGCCTCCAGTCTTGGAGCCTGTGTGTGGAGTCGGGAGTCCTGGGGCCAGCCCCCACTGTGGGTGCGTCCTTTCAACTTTTAAGGACCCATTTCCTCTTCTGCAAAATAGGATGTTCTCCTGACAAGTTTTGGATTTAACAAGGGTGAGGAGCTGCAAGAGAAAGCTCTAGGAGGCAGTGTTGATTTTGGATTTAACAAGGGTGAGGAGCTGCAAGAGAAAGCTCTAGGAGGCAGTGTTGAGCCTGTGGACTCGAGGAGGCAGAGTCCCTGGGTGTAAATCAAGTCCTCAGCTCCCTTGCTCTGTGACCTTGACCTTGACAAGTTACCCTCTCTGGCCTTAGTGTTCTCATTTATGAAATGGGGCAATAGTGGTACCTACCTCGTAGGATTGTTATAAGAATCATGTGAATTATATATAAACCACTTAGGTAGCAATGAGGACAGTAGGCCCTGGGCTCATGCCAGCTGCATCGTTATTGCTATCACTGTGCCAACTGAAGCATGCTCTTGAGAAAATGTGCATGAACATAGCTATAATAACATAAAATTTAATATAAGCCCACGTAAATTAAAGATGTATAGCATATTGCGTAATTAGTTAACATAAATTAACAAATCTATATTAATACAATTTTTCAGAAAAACTGTGGTTGGTTGGATCTGGTGCTTCTTATTTTTAAATTTCCCCAAGTCCAGTGTAACGTGTTTGGAGGGTGACAGTTACACTGAGATATATCCGAATACCACCTCACCCATTCGGGCATAGGTGTTTCTGGGATTCCTCCGCCGGCCTCCCCTGGCCTCGGGGTGTTTCCAGACTCCGTTCTGGGTGAGGTGAGCATGTCCTAGGTGGCAGAGCCAAGGAGGCTCATGTCTGTGGAGTTTTCCTTTGGGGACAGGGCGGCCCTGGAAGGACCCGGCCTGAGATGTGTGGCGGGGGTCCCGCATTGTCCCTCTTGCCTCCTAGAGCACCTGAAGGAGCGCCTGGCCAAGGAGCTGTCCCGGCTGCCCAAGGTGCGCCTGATCCGCGCCCACAAGAGGGAGGGCCTGGTGCGAGCCCGGCTGCTGGGGGCCTCCGCAGCGAAGGGCCAAGTGCTGACCTTCCTGGACTGCCACTGTGAGTGCCACGAGGGGTGGCTGGAGCCGCTGCTGCAGAGGTGCGTGAGCCGTCCGCCTGGGGAGGGTCCCCACCGCACAGAATGGTCTCCGAGTGAGAGGCCATGGGGCGCCTGGGTTCAGCGGCTCTGGGCATGTTAACAGTCCCTCCCTCCTTGGGCTTTGGAGGCCGAGAAGTGATCTAACACATGTACAGTTCTTCAAACGTGCAGCATGTCAGGGGCCCTGCACGAGTGTTTGCTTTTGTCACTATTGTATATGCTTTTTGTGGAAGACTTAGGAAGAACGGCCAACCAAGAAAAATGTCAATAGTATGGAATGACATGTCTAGAGAATGTCTTTCCAGCACAGCTGACTTATCTGTTACACCCCGTACCTACAATGTCTAGGGCCCGTGACACTTCAGTGGACCCACAAACATTTTTATGTGAATTTCTTTTTTAAATCAGAAGGAAAAAGGAATATCACAATAATGACTTATGACAGTGATGAATCTAGCCTAGACTGTGTTTGTCTTTATACCAATATAGTCATAAAATATATATATATATTTTTCTTCTTTTTTTTGTTAAGCTTCACTCGAGAATATTTTTCCATTGAGTTTTAGATAGAGTGGGAAGGAGGGAGGGAGAGAGAAAGAAACATCGATGTAAGAGAGATACATGGATTGGTTGCCTCCCACACGGGAATCGAAACTGCAACCTAGGAATATGCCCTTGACTGGGAATCGAACCCGAAACCCTTTGGTTCGTGGGCTGATGCTCTAAGCACCGAGCCAAACCGGCCAATACAATGTGGTTTTTAATGTACATATACTCTTATGGAGTCGTGAAAAGTCATAGCGCGACCCTGTCTTCAAGGCCTCTTATGCTAACCCTCTCAACCCACCCCTCCCCACAAGCCACCGTTCCTGGGCCCTGACTTCTGTTCTCTTCTCTTCCTTCTCTCTCCCCATTCTCCTGATTCCGCATTATAGCAGTCAGGAGCTGGGCTGACAAATCCAGGTCTGGGGGCTTGGGTGAGGGGGCCTCTGTGGGGAGCAGGTCAAGGGCTGGAGGTCAAGGGTCTCTGTAGTTGGCAAAGTGCTGTCCCACGGCCTCCAGCACTTTGGTTGTTTCTCTTCCTAGGTGAGATCAAGCTGTCCCCTGCTCTGCTACTTCCTACTGTCCTGGGCGCTTGTCCTCTGTGGATGCCATGATGACCTTTCTCCTCCTCAGCTCTGATGAGCTTCGCCAGCATCAGGGACCCAGGGTTGCTCAGGCCTATGATGGAGTCTGAGCTTATTTAGAACATGGTGACAGCTGAGCATTTCTTTGAATCTGGGCCAGTGGGTTCGCCCTTCACCCCTGTCCCACACTGTGCACGCAGGGAGCCACCTCTCGGCCTATCTGAAGCCACCTGGAAGTCCACTCCAGCCCTCCCTTTGGAGAGAGCGAGGCCGCCTTCCCCATAAACTAGTCCTTGCTCCACACCTGTAGACAAAGCGATTCTCTACCCTGGTCGCCCATTAGAAACAGGTGGGGTACTTTTTAAATATGCCATCCCCTAGGCCCATGGCAGGCCACCGGGATCCCAGGCTTCTACATGTTTCAAAAGCTCCCAGAGACTTAGGTATGCACCAGACTTGAGACACACTGGACTCTGTCTCCCGGGTGGTCCCAACCAGGAACTGGAACCCCTTCCTTCCAGGGGCTTTTGGAAATAGATGTTCTTAGTTGTCTTGTCCAGTGGGCGGTGCTCCTGGAGTTCTGTGAGCTGGGGACCAGGGGTGCCAGATGTCCTGCGCAGCAAGGAAGGGTTCTGCCCCAGGAGCCAGGAGCACTGGCACGGGGCACGCTGCCGCTCGGCCTGTCCATTCTGTCATCACAGTTCAGTCCCCCACTCCAGTGCCGGCTGCCCAGTCTTCCCCTGATTCCAGCCGCTTGATTACAAGGCACAGTTCTTGGGGCCTTTGATGGGGCCAGGCAGCACCTTTGGACCTGCCCAGCGGCTCTGCCGTTGTCCCCCTCACTCCTTTGATAATGCCGCCAGTTTATTGAAAGAATTGGGCGTTGCTAGATACTCACCCTGCAACTTCCTGAATTTAGTGAACTCAGAAGTTTGATTCTGTCTCACAGAAGCTATCCTGAGCAGTGCCGTTTTCCCGAAGATGTGATTCTTACCTCAGTGTCATATTCGTAATGCTCCCTCTCACATTCTGCTGTTATTCCAAAAACCCTTACAGCTCAAGTTGACTGATCTCTGTTTCTTCTTGTCATTGTTTTGTGAGACTCATGATTTTTAGGTGTCAAATTCCAGATAAAACCCCCCAAAACATAACCCAGAGAAATCTAGTGTTCACACACGGTCCAGTCTCAGTTCATCTTTCCTGGTGTGCTGTCAAATGCAAAAAAAAACAAAAAAAAAACCCAGTCTAGAAGCATGCCGAAGGATGGTTGGGCTTGCGGTAATGATGGTGGAGAAACGAGCTAAAGCATACGCACAGGCTGACGCCTGCAACAGAAAATCATAGTGTCTCCCACCGCGTGTCATATTTCACAATAATAAAGATGAAAAGGAAAGAACAGCAGCAGCTCCAGGTTCTCTGCCAGCCACTTACAGACACTCCAGGGAGGCCTCATGTGAGCCCCGTGAGTGTGTGCCGGTGGGGCAAACGCAGGTTTCCAGTCCTGAGTATTCATAACGCAGGTTATTCTCGTCTTACTATTGATTAATTATTGTATCACTTGCCATATGAACAACTGTAAACCTGCTTTTGCCCCACCCTGTTCCAGTCTTACCCGGGAAGCAGTTGGCCCTGAGAGGTTGATTGACTCAGCTAAAGTCACACAGCAGATAAGGGGCAGGCTTGGAATTTATATTCTAACTCCAAAGCTGGCCCTTTGGTCTGAGGGCATCTCTGCACAGGGAGATGATGTTTTTCTTGACTTTTTATGATTCATTGTGATGAAATGAAGGAACCTTTTGCAATCTTGAGAACTTGAAACCCAGCTTTCTCTTTGAAAAGGTACCTTTGATTTTTCGCATCTTGACTTCCACAGAGCGAGTCGCGGTTAGCTGGGGCATCCACAGACAGAATCAGGACAGGGACGCTGTGGGATGTTTCATATTAAGGTCAGAATCCTTGCTCCCTGCTTTCCCCCAGGGATGCCCCAGGAGGGCACCGGCCTGCCATGGCTGCAGACACCTGGAATGAGAGAAGCAGGTCTTCCTCACACAGGTGTTCCTCCTTCCTAGTGGACGGGTGAGGAGAGTTCATTCCCAAATTTCCTAATGGTCCTCCTGCACCTGACCACATGGAGAGACGGGGTGTTCTGGGCATATGCAGGATCCACGAAGAGGAGTCGGCAGTGGTGTGTCCTGTGATTGATGTGATCGACTGGAACACTTTTGAGTACCTGGGGAACTCCGGGGAACCCCAGATCGGCGGTTTCGACTGGAGGCTGGTGTTCACGTGGCACGTGGTTCCCGAGAGGGAGAGGATGCGGATGCGGTCCCCCGTTGATGTCATCAGGTAAGTGGTCAACTTCTTTGAGGGAGCCTCATCACATCTAGGGTGTGTGTGTATTGTTTATTTAAAAAATCATGGTAAAATACGCATAACCTAAAATTTACCATTTCAACCATTTTTAAGTGTACAATTCAGTGATATCAAGTACATTCACAACATTGAGCAAGGTTCCTCTACAACTTCATTCTTTTTTATGGCTGAATAGTATTCCATTGTGTATGAAACCACATTCTGTGTATCCATTCATCTGTTCATGGACACTTGGTTGTTTCCACCATTTGGTTATTGTAAATAATGCTGCTGTGAACACTGGTGCACTGTTTTCTGTGTGAGTCCCTGTCGTCAGTTATTTGCGATGCATACCTAGCGGTGGAGTTGCCGGATCATATGTAAGTCCATGTTTACCATTTTGAGGACATACTGTTGGGCACCTTTTGAACTGGGGAGGTGAGTGGACCTGGGGGTGGAGGACCAGCCTTGGCCAGTGGGATAGCCTGGGTCTAAGCAGAGTGGGCTCAAGGAAGGCTCAGTTCTCATTCTTGAGGTGTTGTTCCTCCCCTTCCAAGTTCAGGACCAGGTGGAAGACAGATGTAAGAGTTAGGCGGATGGTGCTTGGACTTCAACTGTATTGCTGGTATATTGAGCCAAAAAGGGTGTCTTAGATCCGTACCCACATTTGACATTTGGGCTTATGAATCGTTCTGCCTGCGTTTTGACCTTGATATGACCCGCTGCTGTCTGGAGTGGAATGAGTGTGGAGACGGTATTGAGAGATGGGGCTGGAGAGGTCAATGGGGCCACGTCACGCCCAGCTGGGGAGGCCAAGGAAAGGGTTTGGGTTCTACCCTGAAAGGGTAGAAGCCTTGGAAGGGATTTTAGCTGGAAGTGACCCTTGCCTGTTAAATTCTTTAAAGATTGTGCTGGAAGCCACGTGATGAGGGGCCTGCAGGGCCAGGGCTGCAGCGGGGACATCGTGGGTGGCATTGCCGTCTTCGGGGCAGGAGAAGATGGAGGGGAGTCGTGGACTCCAGAGATGCTGTGGTGGCAGAATTGGGAGAAACTGAATGGGAATGGGGCACGGAGGACTCAAAGAAGATTCCCCGGCTTCTGGAGGAGCCCTTAGGGAGCGTCTTGCCTAACTTCTCACTGAACATTTGGAAACTGAGGCACAGAGTAAGAAGGATCTTATCCAGGGTCACAGATCCAGCCTGTGATGCCGACATGAATCACCCCCTCCCCATACACATGCTCAGGGACGTGGCCAGCTGCCTCCCCCTCCTGCAATAGCCTGGGCCTCAGGTTCCTCGCCTGTGGAACAGGTACGAGCATATCCACCTGCTCGTTTCCTAGACCTTGAGGACGAGCCCATGTGCAAGTGCTTTGTAGTCCAGAACCTGCCCTTCCACCGGGCTCCTGCTGTCCCTTTCGCAGTGGCCAGCGCTGGGAGTGCAAGGAAAGCCAGCTGTGCTGCTGGAGGGTCTGAAAGTGCAATACTGGGTTCTTAGTGTTACATGTGTCCCCTGGATTTATTCTTCCTTCTGCTCGTCTGTGATGTGCCCACCGCACAGCTTTCCGCGGTGGGAGGACGGGAGCCTCGGGCCGTTGCTGAAGCCAGTGCTGGCTCTGGAGGAACCTGGGAGGGGGAACAGGGCCAGCCGAGGAGACAGGCCAAGCAGTGTCCGGGTCCTGGAGGGAGACCACTCAGGCTGGAGAGGAGTAGCCCTTGGGGAGCTTGAAGGTGCCCATTGCCTGTTTCAGTCTCTCACTGTCCTCTTGGGGGCCTCTCTGAGTGCCCCTCTTGGGGGCATTATGACTGGGTGACTAAGGCAACCGCAGCCTGGTGCCTGCCAGTCTCTGGGGAAATGTGGTGTTGCTTTCTGGTATCTCCTGGCTGTCTGTGCTTCTAAAACTACAGGGCTTCCCTCCACCGTAGGCCTTTGCTCCTCCTGGTGTCCTCTTGGAGAACCCCTGCATTTCTTCTCTTGGCTAACTCCCCTTTGTTTGCAGACCCTGCCTCTTCCACGAAATGGAGCCCCCCCACCCCATGTCCTCCTCTGTGTCACACAGGCTCAGGGTGACCTTAGTTAACACAGTTCTCACCCAGAGAGTTCTGTACTTCCCTGTTGAGGATCTGTGCTTCCCCAGGGCACGGACCGTGGGGTAGGCCTGCGCCTCCAGGCCTGGCTCAGTGCTGGGCAGTGTGAGGGATGACTGGACTGAAGGGCTGTGGTGGGAAGGGAATTCAACCACCTGGTGGTTTCCTGCTGCTCGCATTGCCTATGGATCTCGTGCTTCTAGGTCTCCAACAATGGCTGGTGGGCTGTTCGCTGTGAGTAAGAAATATTTTGAATACCTGGGGTCTTATGATACAGGAATGGAAGTTTGGGGCGGAGAAAACCTCGAATTCTCCTTTAGGGTAAGTATTCCAGTCTTCTCTTTGGACTCACTCTTAACCTGTTTTCTCTCTCTCTCTTTTTGGGAATTGTTTACGAGAGCCTGGTAGACTTTTCCTCCATATTGGCCATTTACCTAGCAAACCCGAAAGATGATAATGGCATGTGCACCCTGAAGCATCCTTGCCTTCTTGTTTGAAATGTCTACTTTTGAACAGATTTGGGGCAGGAAAGGGACTTGCAGGTCACCCAGTTCTCTTCCCTCGCCACAGCGGGGAGGAACCGAGGCCCAGACCGGGGATGTGACTTGCTCAAGGAGTGAGTGGCAGAGACTAGACTAACACTCAGGTCCCTGCCTCCTGACCCCATCTTTTGGAGACTTGACTTTATAACTATTTATGAAGTGGCCTCTTCATTTAGCTCAGCGACTTTCAAACTTTGACATATGTACAGAATTTTGGGGGAAACTTATTAAAAATGCAGATCTACAGGCACAATCCCCAGGAAGTCAGATTTGATGGGTTTATGGTAGGGGCCAGGAATCCCCCTTTTTTAACCGGTCCACCTATACATGACTCTCAGATGATGCTCCTTTAAGAAGCCCCGAGCATTTCAGTGGGTTTTCCAGTTAACTGAACCTTGCATTTTAAGTATCAAAACCTTATGTTCATGTTAGTGCTTTTCAGTAGAAAATTAAAAATTTTAATAATATTTTATATGGTTTCCTGCTTAAAAAGAGTTACTTAAGATACAAGGATTTGGCCTTCCCCCGAGGACTCACCCCTATCATAAATACCAGGTGCTCTCCTTGGCCCTACCTCCGGTGGGCAGTGGAGCGCCCCTGGCCATTTGCCCCCGCGTGAAATGGCCCGGATGACTCAGACCCTTGAGTTTCAGAGTGGGCTTCTAATGGTCTTTCTGCCTTTTCCCTAGGTGTCAGGCTGTCTGTCTGCCTCTAGAAGCTCTTCCTTTCCCCCTTCCAAACCTCTCTTCTCATTCGCTGCTTTCCTCTCTTCTGGGGCTAGGAGATCAGGTAATCCGCCTGTATGTTACCTGCTGAGTCAGTGGTTCCCAGCAGGTGCACTGTGGGCACTGCCACAGATCAAGTGCATGAGCTTCAGTGCGTGGACTTGCGGTCTTCCTTCCAGGGCTTGTTTGTCTTCGGGGCTGCTTTCTACCTCTGACTGCATTCTGTGTTCTGAGTGTGCTGGGGAAGTGGCCCCCTGCCCCATGGAGGGAGAGGGCGTGGCGGTGCTCGTCATGACTTCGTGCCCGGCCTCCTGGCTGCGGGCATTGTGGACTGGCACCTGTTCCCTGCTCACCTGCCCTGGCCTCTGCTCTGCCCTGTGCAGATCTGGCAGTGCGGTGGGACCCTGGAGACACACCCGTGTTCTCACGTCGGCCACGTTTTCCCCAAGCAAGCGCCCTACTCCCGCAAGCAGGCTCTGGCCAACAGTGTCCGGGCAGCTGAAGTGTGGATGGATGAATTTAAGGAGCTCTACTACCATCGCAATCCCCATGCCCGCCTGGTGAGTTCCTGGCACCCCGCACTCAGTCCCGCCTCATCTGAACAAAAGCAGCCAGTCCTGGCCTCTGGGCCCTAGGAGCCCTGTTCCAGAAACAGAAAATCAGCTGGGTGCTCGTGATGCAGTATGGGAAAATCCTATTCCTTCTCTTATGATGTACAGTCGATTCTCATTGCAGTCATTTTATTCTGTATTGTTACCGCAAACACTGAATTTAGGAATACAGAATCATCGCTCTTGGGGGAAATACAAATTAGGTTCCAGCAAGCCTCTGGCAGGTTGACATTTTTGTCAACCAATCAATATATAACCTTGTTTTATGTGTGTTTCTGTTTAAAGACCCTTTACTTAATAAATATTGTTGGTTTATCACACTACTGATGGTGAGTACTGTTGGCGCCAACAGTACTGTCACTCGTGCCTGAAAGAAGCGTATGGAACACACACATTTCCCCGCCGGGCGCATCACAGCCGTGCACGGAGGAGCCCTACCCGGCACGTCAGCTACGCGTGGGGGCCATTTCACACAGCGAGCCCCCGACACAAAGCCCAGAGATCTGAAAGATGGGGCCCTGACTCGACCGCACAGCGTGAGAGCTGCGGCAGGACTGCGGCTGACGACGTGCACAGTGGGCAGCAGCGTTTCCGCCCCCCTGCGCATATCTTCAGCTGATGGAAAGCGTGAGAACACCACAGGTGTCGATTTCAGGGTTACAGACAAATGTCAACAAATGGGCCCATCGCCCCTGCACAGGCCAGCTCTGCACGCCCAGGACCAGGGCCCGCTGACCCTGCATTCCCTAGCGAAGGGCTGCTTGGCGAGACCGGAAGGTCTGCTCCCAGAACTCTTTCCCAGCCACTTGATGCAAATCTCCTCAGTCCTCGCAGCAGCCCTTCAGGCTGGCTCTGAAAGTTTCATTCCACAGAGGAGCAGACTGAAGCCCAGGGAGAGGGTGAGTTAAGGGATGTGCCCCAGGCCTCAGAGCTGAAGCGCTGAAGCGGCAGAGCCGGGCCTGGGTGTGCACACGCCAGGGGGCCTCCCCTGTGCTCTCGCGGAGCCTGTGCACCCTCCCCGCCTCCCTCGGCGTCCCTCTGCCTCTGGGCTCCAAGGTCACTGCTTTCTCTGTGTCGCCCAAGGCTGCAGGGTCGAAACATCTGCTCTCCCCTGTCACCCAGTGTGGAACCCCAATTCCTTCTTCCTGAGAATTCCCCAAGAATAATACGTTAGAGAGACACTGCATACACCTGCCGTCTGCATGCCCAGTGGCCCTGAAATGGACACTTGGTTGAAGATGAGGTTGCGACAGCTCTCATCAGAAAATGGACTTCTGGAAAATAAGCAGAAATTTCACATTCTATTCACACGTTTTTACTCATTACCATTTCGTTAAGTAGTTAATTTACCAAATTGTAATAGTTTAACATCATATCTACAGGGACAGTCATGTCTCTGCACTCAGCACATTGGCCCTGCTATAGAGAGGCTTGCTTTGTTGAATTACCTGAAACCAGTTGTTAATCATCGGTTTTGTCCAGAGCACTAAACTCCCACGAGTACTTATTATGGTAGCAGTTTGCTCTAACTGTCATAAGTATATATTTAGTCTTCAATACACTGAGCACATACGGTTTTCATTCATGATTATATCTAGAATACTCACCTGTGTTCGAAAGTGAACGTCAGATAGCAGTAGTAAATGGGACCGTCACTGTGTGCACTGCTGAAGTTTTGCTGGTCTGTGATCACGTGTGTATCCATGATGTGCAGGATCCAGTGCAGCCCCAGGATTGACTCTCTCATTCCATCGGCAGGTGCTCTGTGTCCTTCCCTCATGCACCTGGTTGCACCTCCCTGTAGCGAGAACACCTGGAGATGTAATTATGCAACAATCTCTCCTACTGGAGTGCTGCCACTATGTCTGAGGCTGGATTTTTGGTTTTGTTTTGTACTCTGTGCCATGCACAGAGCCCAGCACACATCAGGTGCTCAATAAAAGCTTACTGAGAGAGTGAGCAGCAGTGTAGAGTGGGGCTTTGGCAGGAAGTACCATGACCTTCAGCAGCTCACTGTTCTGTTGTTTTCTCAGGAGCCCTTTGGGGACGTGACCGAGAGGAAGCAGCTCCGTGCCAAGCTTCAGTGTAAGGACTTCAAATGGTTCTTGGACACTGTGTATCCAGAGCTGCACGTGCCGGAAGACAGGCCTGGCTTCTTTGGGATGGTGAGCGAGTCGGGCCCGTGGTGGGCAGCGAGTTCCTGTCCCTCAGGTCTGATCAACAAACCCTGGGAAAGGAAGGCCTCTTTGTGGGGACCACAGACTTCCCCCACCCAAGCTCCCCTCCCTTTTCATCCACTGTTCTTCCTTCTCCCCGTGAGTGTTCGGGGCTCAGGTCCAGAATGTCAGTCCTGGGGGCCATCTTGAAATTGGCAAGTATAAGCCTCCCATTTTATGGACGAGGAAACCAAGGCTCACTTGGTGTCTCTATGCCTCGATGAGCACCTAGCAGCACATTCATGCATTAAACCCCGAGAGAATGGTGTGATGAACCCTGGCCCCGCAATTCTAGAATCATCAGATGTGTCCTCTCTTGCTTCCCTGTCCTCTGCTCCGCCCTCTCACATCTTTCTCTTTTCAAGCAAACCCCAGGCTTTGTGTTGTTTACTCCTACAAAGCCACAGACCATTATCTCCCCTAACCAAATGAGCAATAATTTCTTGGTGTCATTTGACATCCAGCCCTTACTCAGATTCCCCCAGATTTTCACATTTCTCTTGGGGTATTTGGGATCCAAACAAGGTCTCCACCTTGCACGCAGTTGTGGCATCCTCTCTCCTAAGTCCCTCTCGTCTGAGGAAGTCCTTTTCCTTCTTTTCTTCCCCCTTTTGCTTCAGCAGTTCCCCTGTAGAGGGCCTCATCCTTGGGATGATCTAAGTGTGTGTGTGTGTGTGTTTAATCCTCACCCAGAGGATATATTTTTCCCCCATTTATTTTCAGACAGAGTGGGAGGGAAGGAGGGGAAGAGAGAGCGAGAGAGAGAGCAAGAGCGAGTGCGAGAGAGAAACATTGATGTGAAAGAGACACACCAACTGGTTGCCTCCCGCACCACCCTGACCAGGGCCGGGAACCAAACTACAACCGAGGTATGTGCCCTTGACCGGAATCAAACTTCCGACTCTGGTCTTCGGGTCAACGCTCTAACCACTGAGGCACACCGGCCACGGTGATCTAATTGTTTCTTTATGGTGACTTTCAAATTGTGCCTCTCTCCCCCATATTCTTTGCAATGCAAGAGAGGTCTAAAGGTTTGATTGGAGTTGGATCAACCTATTTGACAAGGATGCTTCACAGGTGTGCACTGTGTTCACACCGTGTCCTGGAGGCAGCATGTAATGCCTGGTCCTGCTGTTAGTGATAAGACTGACCATGGTTCGTGGAGAATCACCGGCTGTGCCGTTTCCAGGCTCCTTGCAACGCAAAGGGATCTCCAGAAGGTGGAGCTGTGCCTGAGCAGCGAGAGGGCTGTGGAGCCCTCCCTTCCCTATGCCGAGTCTTGTGATCAGAACCAGGCTGGTCAAGGGTAGACGAGGGCCAGGGGTTCAGGAGGAGCAATTCAGGGCTCTTGGATCCCTGCAGGAAGGAGTTCGGAACGTACTTGAATTTCCCCCAGAAGCTCCTGGAAGGGAGGAGGGAGCACGGAACCTCCCATGGTTTTTTGCTCTTAGAGTGATTAGAGGGTTTTGGAGCCAGGACATACCTCGGAGGCAACGTTAGGTAAGACGATGTTGAGTGATAGAGCACTGGACTTGGAGTCAGAGGTCCTGGATTTAAGACTCCAGCAGCTCCACTTACTTGTTGGGGTACTTTGGACAGGTCATCGGCTCTTTGTATTATGCTGTTCCTAAAGTCCGGAATGGTGGACTTGTGATCTGGGGAACACCAAGTCTCTTGATTGGGGTGTCCTTTGCTGACGCCTAATGGCAGGAGTTCCTTGGTGTATTTGTGAAGCGACAACCCAGCTATGTTCGGACTAGTGCAGTAATAAGGCTGCACTCATTAGAAACGAAGAGGTTTGGGCTTTCAGGCCCTAAGAAGTTAATCTCGCTGACCCTCAGGTCTATCATCTCAGAGGGAGGTCGTGATTCCTGCCTGCGGCACGGAATGGGACACACCTTTAAAACGGGCAATGAGCCGGGCTCTTGAGGCAGGACTTCTGTCTGTTCACCTCCCTCAGAGCCTTGGGCGGACTCCACTGTTGAGTATAAGTCTGGGCCGACATGCCACCTGTATGTTTTGTTTAGCTCCAGAACAGAGGACTGAAAGAGTACTGCTTTGACTATAACCCTCCCAACGAACAGGACCTCACGGGACACCAGGTCCTCCTGTACCAGTGTCACGGGCTGGGCCAGAACCAGGTGCGTGCTCTTCTCTGTGGCCTGACAGTGTCAGGCAGGGCGGGGCAGCGAGGGGCTCCATGCCCAAGGGGTCATAGGGGTCATAGGGGTCATAGGTGTGGGCCTCTAAAGAGGAAAATGAGGGGACATTATGTTTTTTGGGTTTTTTTTTTAATTCTCACCCGAGAACATTTTTGCATTTATCTTTAGATAGAGCAGGAGGGAGGGAGGGAGGAAGAGAGAGAGAAACATCGATGTGAAAGGGACACATCGAGTGGCTGCCACCCACACGACCCAACCAGGGCCAAGGACAAACTGCAACCGGGGTACATGCCCTTAGCGGGAACCGAACTCGGGACTCTGGTCAGCGGGCCAACACTCTAACCGCCGAGCCAAACCGGCCAGGGCGGAAATTATATTTTTTAAAAAAATTAAATGTTCGCTATTTTTAAAAGTATAGAAGTGTTATAAGTGCATTACATTAGAACATGAGAGCAATATAAAAAGAAGAACAGTGAATGATAGGACCCAGAGCAACTACCATAATGATGAAGATGTTCACCTCTCATCTTTCGTTCACGCACGGCCGTTGGATATTGTTCTAAGTAGTTGTTTTCCTACGCCTATGTTTTCTATTTCGTATTTCCATTTCCATCATCATACTTTCCTTGTGGTGTTAGGCATCTCTTTAGAACAGCGTTTCTGAGGGCCTCCCAACATGCCTCTGAGTGGCCATGTCGCTGTCAGTGACGGATTCCCTGCCTCCCTGGCTTTGCAGTAGTAAAAACCCCGCCACTAATCAGAAAAAAGGGAACAAAACAACAGATCTGCATTTTGGATGACTTTCTTAGAATTAATTCCTCTTATTATTTTTTTGGTTAATCCTCACCCGAGGATATTTTTCCATTGATTTTTAGAGAGAGTGGAAGAGAGGGAGGGAGAGAGAGAGATTGATGTGAGAGAGACACATTGATTGGTTGCCTCCCGCACGACCTCGATCAGAGCTGGCATCAAACCTGAAACCCAGCATAGCTGCTCTTGACCAGAATGAACCCAAGACCCTTTGGTGTGAGGGCCGACGCTCTAACCACTGAGCCAAACTGGCCAGGGCCAGAACTAATTCCAAACTTAATTAGTTTGATGCAGAGCGCCACCCTCCGAAGCAGGGCTGAGGGCAGGCAGTTGCCTCAGCTGGGGCCTGGGCGGATCTGAGTTAAGTGCTGTCCTTCAGGCTGGGCAGGGGAGCAGGTCCTGGAGGGTCTGAGGATCAGAACGGGCCTCTGGCTCAGGACAGCAGATGGACCCAGCAGTGTGGGGCCAGTGGAGGGGGCAGGAGAGGAGGGAGGCGTTGGCTCCAGACCTCCAAAGCCTAATTGTCCTAAGAGGTGTCCGAAACAAGAGAGGAAGGGGTGGGAATTCAGGTCTTCTTCCAAGCTGGAATTCCCGCAATGCCATTTGCGTACCAGGCCCTCTTAGGGCCAAGAGTAAACTTTCGTCATTCAGGCCCCTGCACCCTTAAGCTGTTGAGGTTCTCCGGCACCTTTTAGAGCAGTGCTTCTCAAAGGCGACCCTCGGACGGGCACCAGCAGCATCACTGAGAGCTCAGAAATGCAAACTCTCCGCCCCTTCCCCCTCTAGAACCCCAGCCTCTAGTTCCCACCGGCTTCCTGGGAGACCCTGTGAGAGGCACTGCCCCACGAGCCAAGAATAGCCACCTGTGTCGGAATCTCCTGGAACTGGGGGAGTGGGGCAGGGTGGGTGGGTGGCTGAGTATCTTGTTAAAATGTAGAAATGCAGCTTCCTAGGCTGCACCTCCCACTGAAGGAATCCTCATTCCCTCCCTGGGATGGGGTCAGAATCAGTATTTTTCCCAGGCACACTGGGGGAGGAAAACCATTGCTCTGAACGAAGGAAGTCCTCCTCCCATTAGCAGTCATAATGTCTGCTTGTGCACAGCGCGTTAGAGTTTCCGAGGCACCATTTCACTTGTCATAGTTCCGAGGGAGGGGGGCGAAAGGACTGAAGAAGAGGAGAGGAAGTGGCTGGTCGAGGCCACGGAGCCCCCAAGTGTTGGCACTGGGACTGATCCATTTTTTCCCCTGTGGTTCCACACAGCATGGGATGGGGTTGGGCACAGTGGGTGTGAGGAGCCCAGGCACCAGCCCGGCACCCAGGATCTAGCAAGCAAGGTGACACGAGCAAGGGCCCCTCCACACTCGCTAAGCACCACACTAGGGCGTGGAGAGTGCCGGGCGGGGGCACGGGGTGCTGGGGGACAAGTAGGAGGCTGGCTGATCAGACAGGGGAGTGTCATCAGGTGAGGGGAGAGTGAGGGACCCTGACTCCCATGCTCTCGTGGCCCCTGGTTCTCACCAGCAGTTTCCTTCTTTCCACATCAGAGGGTGACTGATGCCTGTCGGCTCTTCCGTTTTTAGTTTTTCGAGTACACGTCCCAGAATGAAATTCGCTATAACACCCACCAGCCAGAGGTCTGCGTAGCTGTGGAGGCAGGAGCAGATATTCTCATCATGCACCTCTGTGAGGAAGCAGCCCCAGAGAACCAGAAGTTCGTCCTGCAGGAGGTGAGTGAGCTCCCTCCTCCCTGCCACCGCCCGTGGGCTGCAGAGGGGAGCACCAGGCAGATCAGGCTTCCTGCTGCAGTCCTGGGGGTCCAGGGGTGCCGCCCGCACCGGACAGCAGGTGGCCCAGTGTCCAGTGTCAGCGGCCTCTCCTGCTCCCTCCCTGTCAGCTCCTCTCAGCCTCTCCCTCGCCTCCCACCTGGAGCTGCAGCAGAAATGGGAAGAGGACCTGCTGTAGGTGCATTAGAAGGAAATGGGGTTTAAACAAGGGAAACAAATCACCAGAGTGTGAGGATGGGAGGTCAGATCCAGGTTTAGTCTCCACTGCTCTAAGCCTCCTTTTCCCCGGCTCTGAAGTGGGGGCAGTTACGGTCGCCACGTCTTAGCTCTAGCAAGGAGAAGATGTATGGCCGGGAATATTCTTTGGAAATTGGGAACCTCTTTTGAGATCAGTTGCTACTTGCAGTATAATAACCGAGAAAAGATCTCTCTGCGGGAGCTGGCTCTCCATCAGAACCGTCGCTGAGTGGGAACTGGGTGTTGTTTCAGGCATGAAGGGCACTAGCGCCACCATATTTGCGGGGAGCCCGCGATGCAACTCATAAATCAGTCATATCCTTTGACTCACAAAAAAGCACTTGAGGGAATACAACCAAAGAAAATAATTCAAAAGAAAAACATTAGTTCTCTTTTATCTTGATGGGAAGCTGTCATTTCCGGGTTGGCCCCAGGGATGGAAAAATTCACTTAGACTGGTTATAAATAGGTTAATTCCAAGTATGATTAGAAGTTGGAGTACAGTTTCCTGCAGAACCTGTTATGATTAGCAATGTAATTTCCAGGCTCCTAGGAAGAGCCAGGCCCCGTAGTGTTGTCTATCTGATGTAAAAGTGGAGAGAAACTATTTCTGCAGACCCCGAAGTCTGACCCTCTGCAATGCCCTCCCCCTTCTTTCTTGCAACTGGAAGCCATTATAAGCTCTCGAAGAATAGTAATGCAAGATAGAGACTTTAAAATTGGTTTGAAATGTTATTAAAATTTTATCTTAAATTTTAGCAACCATTTAAGGAAAAGTCTCCTTGGAAGGGTGGGAGGAAGGGTGCTTTCCGGAATCAGAGGCATATCTCAGAGATATTGTGGGTTCTGTTCCAGACCACAGCAATAAAGCAAGTATTGCAATAAAGTGAGTCACATTAATTTTTTTGGTTTTCCAGTGCACGTAAAAGTTATATTTACACTATACTATAATCTATTAAGTGTGCAATAACATATGTCTAAAAAACAATGTGCATACCATAATTTAAAAATATTTCATTGATAAAAGATGCTGACTGTCATCTGAGTCTTCAGCAAGTCATAATGTATTTATTTGCTGGAGGGTCTTACCTTCACTTTGTAAAAATCAGTCAATTTACTTTCACATTATTCTAAAGGCACTAATGAGCACTCATAAGCACTTTTAAGGGTTTTCAGTGTGAATATTTTTGAGATTCTTTGCATCTAATTTTATTTCTAAGGCCTCTCTTCCCTGGAACAGGTATATCACTGTTCTGCCTGTTTGTTGCTAGGCCATGATTAAGTTCTTGGGGGCGTACAGCTTAAACAGAGAGAGGTGGGGTCTGGGGGAGAGATTTGCTGCGTTAACTCAGCAACAGTTTGGAAAAAGAAGAGAAGGGGGAGGCATTAAAGAGGATCGTCATCTTTAGGAGTCTGGGAATTCACACGGTGTGTAGAGCCCACATCCTCTCTGGTGACTTGCCCCCTCCCCCAACCCCAGCTGGTCTGTAGCTGAGCTGGGACTACAGCCAAGTTTCCCAACTCTCCATTTAAATACATGAGTGAAGGAGATCTCTGGGGATGGAATTAGTTGACCGAAGTGGAAGAGATTCATAAAGGATCTTTGGTCCTGATTTCCCTGAAGGAAAAGAAAAGCTACAGGGATGAGACATAGGGCCTGACCGTTTCCCAGCGCAGCCAGCAGGTGGCACCATTGGCCCTGACAGTGGAGTCTGGGACCTGGTGAACTGCTCCTGTGAAAGGCTAGCTAGCATGACACATGTCTGTACATGGCCTGACCCTCTCTACGCATGGACAGCCCTTGATTGCCTTTGCACATGCAGACACTTCCTGCTCAGTAACGATTTCTGAAGTGATCAAAGTCACCCTGAGCACTTAAGAACATAGTTTAAGGAAAAAGATACTTTCTGAGGAATGCTTATAATTCTCTTGAACATCCACTGTCTATTATCTTTTGTAGGATGGTTCTTTATTTCATATGCAATCCAAGAAATGTGTTCAGGCTGAGAGGAAGGCATTCACCGACAGTTTCGTACCACTCTTACGAGACTGCACCAACTCGGAACAACAGAAATGGTTCTTCAAAGAACGCATGTCATAAAGTATCACTGCACCAAGGAGACCAGCATGGGAGATGGGGGCCCCTGGACGTAGCCCAGCAGAGACTTAGCTAAGTACAGTGACAGACCCACCAAAAACTTGGCTGCTCTATTTTAATAAGGAAATCACTGTGCACTTTGTGAAAGCAGTGTGGTAAGAATGTGAATAAGCTTTGTACTGATTTTTAAAACTTTAAAATTGTTCCCAAATACCCTATTTTCAAAGGGTAATTATAAACTGTTTACTCTTGGTAGTCAGAGAATTAAAAACCTTTACATATTTTTCTATCAAGATGTATATTTTACTGTTGTACCTTTTCATTTCCTTTAGCAAAAAAAAGTAAATGTTTTATTTTGGTATTTGCAAGGATTTCCAGGTATGAAGATGTTTGCATGTGTTGAAATTAGACTCATGTAATATACTTCGCATAAACTGGTAATACTTCAAACGTTGGTTTAGATTTTTCTCTCTGTGGACAGATGGACAGTGGGAAAATTATACTGATTCCTTCAGGTCATTGAGATAACTTAGACTTATTTACTAAAGAATACTATTTGATTATGCGCTGCTGCCATAGTCAAACCTCCAGTTAAAATTTATGATAGCCAAAGAAGACTAACCAAAGCAGACATCTCAGAGGAACAACTTGATATGCTGGCTAATACTTTTAGCAGTTACCACTAGGACTTTAAAACATATTTATATCATTTTTGATTTTTATCACATGTTAGTGTCAGGGAGAAATGGAATGTTCTATATGAAATTCAGTCTTCGGCTTTGTTCTTTAATAATACTTGGTCCTTTAAATCATTCTGTGCAGCAGCTGCTGGGAAGGTTTCTCAATAATTCTGGTTTGTGAAAGATCCCAGGTCCACTTCCTGAGGTCTTGTCAGTGTGATGAAGTCAATGTGAATGATGTAACCAATGGATGAGGGCATTGCAGATCTTTGTTGTTACAACCAATCAGGAGTGAGAAGAAGACACATGTGCAATTGATTAAAAAGTCTCAATTTGCGTCTCAGGCTCCCAGGCTCTTTTTCATTCACTTTCCTCACTGAGGGCTCCAGCTTAACGCTCACTCGGAAGCAGCTCCAGGTGACCTGGCTTCGGGCAGTCTGATGTCCTTGAACCATTTTGAACTTTAGTTTCTTTATCTGTAAAATGGGAGTAATGAAACCAAGCTCATGAGAGGTGTTAGGATTAAATAATATAGAGCAGGTGACAGCTTCGTTTAGTCCCTGGCCTAGAGAATGGGCTTATTAAAAATCTGTTTTCATAAATGCACTTTATAAAATATGAAACATAAGCTTCAGTAGGTGTTTATTCAAAAATAAATATTAAGTAATTTATTTATTGTGTCTCTATGAGGTGAAATAGCTCCTGAGCAGGCAGGATCACGGTGGGAACCCCTCCCAGCGCAGTTCAGATCTCTCCAGGGTAAGGCACTACAGGGCCAAGGCTCCCCCGCCCCCCCATTGTAGTAACCTGCAACGCAGGTGACATGCCCTGCTCCACCCATAATGGAGGCGAGAGTCCTGCTTACCTCTTCTCACCCTTTTTGCAGTGTCAGTCTGAGCTCCACAGGGGGTGTCAGCCCTCCCTGGGGTGGGAGGACAGTTCAGGCAGACAGAGGTTACTGCTGACCAAATCCATAGCGAGGGCACTTTTACCAGCATTCACTGGGCACCGCAGTGGTTCCCTTTGCTCGGAAAGTCATGTCTTACCCCTGCCGTCAGTGTATTTTTAGGGTGGAAAACCAATACAAGTTTTTTTGGGGTATAAAGGGAAAAATTTTCAGAGATTAGGAGGCAATTTACAATATTTTGAGGACGCTTTCCCTTCACTGATGGGTGAGGAGTCAGAGCTTGGCAGACCCCACCTGCCCCACTGGAAGGTGTGAATTGGCCTCCAGGTCTGGTCATCAGTGTGATTTTACAACAGTAACATGTAAACCATGCAAGTGCATTTGAAGCTCAGGTTTAAGGATGCCCATCCTCGTTATCAGATGCCTGCTCACCATTTGAGAAGGTTCATTTATGAAAACTTGCATAAAGTTCCTTGCATGTAAGTAGGGAAGGAGTTGTTTTATTTATATGTCTCAATTCTGGATTTATTTATTTTTTTTTATCATCCTCACCCGAGGACATTTTTCCATTTTTTGTTCAGGTAGAGTGGGAGGGAGAGAGAGGAACAGAGAGAGAGAGAAACATCGATGTGAAAGGGACACATCGAGTGGTCGCCACCCGCACAACCAACCAGGGCCGGGGACAAACTGCAACCGAGGTACGTGCCCTTAACGGGAACTAAACCCAGGTCTCTCTGGACCGCAGGCCGATGCTCTAACCGCTGAGCCAAACCGGCCAGGGCAAATTCTGGATTTCTTTATGGGTTGAGTGTATGTTAAAACTTAAGTTTCCTGCACTAACTAGCTTTCTGTTCCATTAGAGCAGGGCTCTTCACACTTCATTGTGTATGGAATCACCTGGCATCTTGTAATAAGGCAGATTCAGGTTCAGTAGGTCTGGGAGGGACTGAGATTCTGCATTTCTCACAAGCTCCCATATAATATCATTGCTGCTGGTCTGTGGATCACCCTTTGAGGAGCAAGCTATTGGGGGCAGAGAAGAAAGCTCCCCGTTGGCTGGTTGCTAGTGTCTTACTCTCGCACACACACCAGATGGTGTTGTCCCCACAGGAAATGTGACAGTGCTATAGTTGAGGCGAAGTCTATTGGGCTAACGGATTCTCCAAATCATAGGTCCACAGGGTGCAGACCTGGAAGTCCCCCAGAGACTGATGGAGGGACTGAGGCCGGTGAAAGGGGTTTGCCAGAGATCCCACAGCAAATTAGGGACATGTTCTTTGACAGTGCCTGTCATTCCTCGTAGTGATCAGTGTTCGAAATTTGGCCCGAGTCTGATATTTTTCTTAAGGTGTTAAATTGGTACTCTTTTTAGAAGTGTGTCTTCAAAATTTGACTTTCTTATATTAAATTATCACATAAAATTAGTTACCTATCTTAATAAAAAGTCTAAAGCCTATGCCACATGGCTTATTATATCATAGCCACAATGTTTACTTAACGAGTGGGGTTAGCAACACTGGCCTCTTACAGTGTCCCAATGTTTGTGAGGCTCAATGCACTCCACACCCCATTTTTCACACTTACACATGACGCTGGGGTTTTGTTTTGTTCGATCCTATAAGGTCAGCTGGGTGAGGATTGCTGCGTCCTGTTTGCAGCTGCCGATAATCCTAATCCTTCCGTGAGCTGGGCGCTGCTCTAAGCACTTTGTAGAAATCAGCCAATTTAATTCTCAAAGCCAGTAATTTAATTCTCAGAGGTGGAGACACGGAAGCCCAGAGAGGGTAGGGTCACACAGCTAACCAGTGGCAGTGCTGGGATTTAAACCCAGATAGTCTTTTATGAAAAAATATGTTTTTCTTTGTTGCTTTTAGAAAGAGAGGAAGGGAGAGAGAGATAGAAACATCGATGAGAGAGAATGTCGATTGGCTGCCTCCTGCATGCCCCCCACTAGGGATCGGGCCCACAACCTGGGCATGTGTCCTGCATGGGTCGACGCTCAACCACTGAGCCACACGGCCGGGCTGAACCCAGATAGTCTTACTCCAGAGCTCCCTGGAGGGGAGGTGACCAGCTCAGGTCACAGCTCACACACCCTGACCCCGGCCCCTCCCCTCTTCTTAGTCCGGTTACACCACGCTGCCACTTTTACCATGAGAATTATGAGTCTGTCCTGCTTGCAGAGAACAGGAGGTCACAGTGGATTCACATCTCTGGGCAGGCACATTTCTTTCTCACGTGCCCAGTGCAGGAGCAGTAGGGGGGCAGCAACTGGGGGTCCCAACCCACTCCTTTAGGTGCAGTTGTCCTGGTGTAATTCCGTGTTGCCCATGCCCACACTCTGCCCTCTTTCTCTTTCAAATAGGGCGGGAGGGGGAAGGCACAATTTGGAGGGTATTTCTTCAGTTTCCCGTTCGAGATTCTTGCTGCGGAGCCAAGGAGGCTCCCGGTCCATGGCCAAATCGACTGCAGTTGCTCCATCCAGCACTTACTCGTCTTCAGCATGCTCCAGCCCCTTGGGACAGAGTGCCGTCCCATCTGCCATGTCATGATTCCTCTGCACATCATCTCGAACCTTCTTTTACAAGGCAAGGGTCAGTGGAACTGATTGCTCATCAAAACGCTGAGCTAGTTCTTTCAGCATCCTAAAAAGAAATTGCCTGATGGGTGTGCCTATGGGGCAGCTCCAGTTATTAACTCAGGAGCAATTGCAAAGCACCACTGGATTCTGATTGCCAACTGTTATAAAAGGAAGCAAATGACTGGGTAATAGAATGTTGAGGGATGTCAGGAGTCCTGTATTCAACCCCCTCCTCATGCAGGAGCCCCTCCTCCTGACCCTGGCTTGTTGCCCCTCCCCTTCCAGGCCATCCTTTCCTGTTCTGTTCCTGGAGGACCTGCACAAAGCTCAACTCTGTCTCCCTGGAGCTTCCCTGACTGCTCTGGATCCCCCTGGGAGGCCACCCGGCATGTTTGTTCTCTCTGCCCCTCAGAGAGTCAGCGAGGGAGGTTCTGCGTGGATCCTCTGTTCCCGGCTAGCCTGCCCTCAGTTCTTCAAGCCATTCTTAGGGGATGTGGTTTTCACTGGGAGGGAATATGAGATAGATGTTTGCATTAAATCTGCAGTGTTTAACCAAAGGTCACGACTCTCGTCTCCATCCCTGCAGAGAGTGCAGGCCCGCTCAAATGACCCCAGATGCTCTGAGAGCAGTAAACCGATGTGACTAGGCGGGGGGTGGGGAGGAGCAGTGTGTGTGTGACAGCAAGAGCGAGATTGTGTAAGAGAACCTTCGTTTTCCATAATTAAAAGTCAATGATGATGGTCTGAAACTGAAATATCCTGAGAAAGCAGGGCTAATGTTATTTGAAATACGGAGGCAAATTCTGGAAGAACTAGCTGGAAATGTTGAGAGTCAAGGCCTCCTGGGAGCCAGATCTGAGTGAGAGAGTGGGGAGGGCGGGACGGGCCTGCTGGTTTTATTATAAACCTTGAGTGTTCCTAGGCTTTCTGAGCTAAGTACATGTACTTAAGCTCAGTACATTTGGTAGAAATTATCTTTAAAAATTCTCGTAAATGGAGCCTGAGCCCAAACTCTTGTTAGCAGGAAAATAATCAAGGACTTAGGATTGACTTTATTTGTCAGGGTAGATTTAGGAGAGGTGGCGATTTGTAGTCAGAAGATCTGGATATAAATTCCCTCTGGCCACTGACTGGCTGTGTGACTTTGGGCAAG